AATAATAATAATAATAATAAAATAATAAAAATAATACACTGAATTACAAAAATTTCGGAAATTTCAAAATGGTGCTGAGGAAAATATTTGGATCGAAGAGGGATTAAATAATAGGATGTAAAAAAATTACACAGTGAGGAGCTTCGTAACTTGTACTCTTCGCCACTCTTCAGTGTAGTGACCAAGTCAAGGACGATGAGAAGTGCTTGGCATGTAGCACGCATAAGAGAGAAAAATAACGCACATAGGGTTTCGGTGGGAAAGGCAGAAGGAAAGAGACCAGCGGGAAGAGCTAGACGTAGATTTTGTTATTTTCTTGGGGTGGGCTGAGACAGAGTCCACTCGGTACGTCGGCCACTAATAGGCCTATAGTATCAGCCGCAGATGATAGATGAGGACGGATATGTAGTAGTCTGTGGAATGAGAATTGGCAGGGGAAAACGAAGCACTCCGAGAAAACTTTCCCAGTGACACTTTGTCCACCATAAATCCCACATGACCTGATCCGGGCTCGAACCCGGGAAGCCAGCGACTAACCGCCTGAGCTATGGCACGGCCTGACCTACACGTGAGAGGACAATATTAAAATGGATCTAAAAGAGAGAATGAGTATTTTACGTTTGTACCTATGGAATTCTTATTATATACTAATTTTTCAATTTTATGAATTGTATATTTTAGACGGCTATCGAACTGTATATATTACGATTTAGTTTTTACAACATGACTGTAACAATAATAACTATTTACCTGCATTAGCTATTACAGTACATGTAGTAATCTGACATGTTCTACATCCTAGGCACATTGTGACCAGAGAGGATTTATGGAATTTTAAAATAAATGAATGAATAAATGAATGAATGATATGGATTGGATTCATCTGTCTCAGGAGAGGGAATAGTGGAAGGCTTTTGTGAAGATGGAAATGAACCTTTTGGGTTCCATGAAATGCTAGAAAATTCCTGCGTAGATGAGAGATTTCCGGCTTCTCAAGGACACAGCTGCATGGAGTCAGTCGATCAATATGCCTCGCACCTGTGGGTGTGCTCAACATTTGACACGCGAAATGTAGAAAATTGCGTCGTGCTAACACCGTCGCGCGTTGCGTAATGGTTCATGAAAGCTAATCAACAGATTGACGAAAGAATCGACCGCTTTCACCTCTAACCTTTCTGTACGCCCACTCGAGGACTCTGCCCTCCGTAAATTGTGTAAACATCCGGTTCGCGAGCAGGGATTTCTGTCTGCATTTCCTTTCTTGATATCCTAATAAGAATGGTATGATCATAAATAAATATATCCCATAATTCCTTCAATTCATGCTCCAGGATCAAGCGAAAAAGCAGCTGGGTTGAGCTCCTTGCGCACCTACATCGTGTAAAAGAACTGCTGAAAGTCCTCCTACAGTGCCTAGCACTCCTGTTATGTAACGGTCCTTAGGTCAATTCCCGGACTGCTGTGGTATGAACGTTATGAAATTTGAAGCCATGTGAACATTACACATTTTAATTTTTTAAGTGGTACAAGTTGCTACAAGCCGGAAGGTCGCGGGTTCGAGTCTCGACGAAGTGGATTTTTTCAATTGACCTAATCCTTCCAGCCGCACTATGGCCCTGGGGTGGACTCAGCCTCTAAAAGAAATGAGTACCAGGAATTAATTAAATAATTTTCCTAGGGAGTGAAGCGCGGCCGGCGCGTAAGGCTGACAACCTCACCGCCATCTTTGAGCCGATTGTCTAGATAATGCGGGACCCTCGACGTCTCACAACCCTATGGGCCTTCACGACCTGTTACAGGGATAGCTGTACCTTCCTTGCCTTCTTTCTTTCTTTCTTTCTTTCTGTGGCGCTACAGCCCCAATTGTGGCCTAGGCCTGCCTCCATGAAACTCTCCGTTTCACTTTGGTTTACTAGATCTTACACATTCGGCAGGACTCCTTGGGCGAGTGATCAGCTCGTCGCAAGGCCTCTACCTGTACACAAACACAGAAGAACGCACACACACAAACTAAACATCCATGCCCTGAGTGGGATTTGAACCCACGATCCCGGCTTTCCGAGCGAGCGAAGACAGTGCACGCCTTAGACCGCTCGGCTACCGTGACCGGCACCTTCTTTACCTTACAGTCATTAAATAAAAATGAAGCAATAACCGAATTAGAGGACAGATGGACAGAGAGAATAAGGAACAAGTTAAGGTGGCTCTACAAAATTTCTCCTTCTGCACAGACCAATAGTTCGTTCCGTTCCTAAGCTCTATGTCATGAAGGAGTAGATTCTCGGCTTCTTTTGTACTTCAAGCTATTGTCTAGCAAAGCCAGCAGCATATTTACTGCTACATTCTCACACTAGCAAGTCCTGGACTGTATTTATATATTACTGCCATTAACACGAAAATTATTTACAGTTCATGCTCTGGCAGTATGCTCGAGATATACCTCCTAGGGGATGGCGGTCATGGGTAACAGTTTCGTCCAATCTGTTTCTTTTCACAAACTTCTAGAGAACTTGAAGAAAGCAGTCTTCTGGGATTTGGCACCGTGTATATGTGGTGTTAACCGACGTTTCGGAGGAACGTATCACCTCCATGAGAACTTCTCTGGCTCAGTCATGGGAGCAGGCAGCGGGAGGGGGTATGCCAGGTATCTCCCCCATCCCCTGAGTTTCGGAAGTAATCGCAATTTAAATTAAACAAGACGATTGCTACGACATTGAGCCCACAGTAAACGACGCGTCCAATAATTCTTATAATACTGCTCGTGTATTCGTTACCGTTGGAATGCGCTTATTGAGCCGTTGCGTAGCAACGATATGGAGGACACAGAGATAACAAGGTGATCACGTATGTCTAGCAACAGCCGTCTCTTCTGGTTCCAATATTCTAGCTTTCAGGTTTTAGGGGGCATAGACAGACACACAGAGAGCAAGATGATCTCATAAGTCTCCTAAGGAAATTATGTTTAAAAGAAGGAAATACATGATATAAAATTAACAATAATTAGAAACAATTTTAAAAATATTTTTATATTATTAATGCTGCATGACAATCAATAAAGTACAGTGGAACCTCGCTTAACGAGCACCTCTATTAACGAGTAATTTGCATAACGAGCAAAACAAATTGTAAAAACAGAGATGACTCGCTTAACGAGCGACGTTTCGCATAACGAGTGACGTGAGGGGAAGTCCCGGATTGTGCGCTTGCTACATCAGTCTGCGTTTAGCACTCGTTCCGCTAGCATCTTAGTGTCGCTGGTGATCACACATTTTTCCAAACTTGTGTTCAGACATATTATTTGTGATTTTTTTATGTGCAAAGTTTAATAACCCTTGCAAAAATGTCCCCGAAGAAAAAGCCGCAAAAAGAGAATAAAAATAACCGTAGAAATGAAACGTAAAATCATTGAAAAGCGAGAACGAGGTGTGAGCATGGCTGATCTAGCACGCACCTACAGTCGGTCTACATCACCGATTTGCACTATCCTCAAGAACAAGGACAAGATTAAGGAGATAGATGCTTCAAAGGGAGTGACAAGAATATCTACACAACGGTTCTGTATTCTCGAGGATGTTGAAAGGTTGCTCCTCATATGGATAGACGAAAAGCAACTGCAAGGTGACACTATTAACGAGAACATCATTTGTGAGAAGGCAAAAGTCATTTTCGCTGACCTTGTTAAGAAGACGCCAGGATCATCAACGGCCGAAGAAGCATTTAAGGGAAGCCGTGGGAAACTGTTGCATCGTACATTGAGAAGCATCGCCCTAATAACGCAGTGGCTATGCGCGCTACAAATTTATTTAATGAAAATGCTGTGTCGCATTTTCACCAAATTTTGAAGCGTCGGCAAAAACAAATGTCTCTAGACAGCTTTCAAGTAAAAAGAATTAGATATGTATCATAAATAATAAACTAATTACTTGTGTTTTTTTTTTTCTGGAAATCGACTTCGCATTCCAGGTCGGTCCATTCCGCATAGAAGAAAAGAGGAAGATGATTCACGCTCCTTAACAATGTATATATAATTTTCTTTGAATAAACGTTATACATAAATTTTTTTTAGTATTTTTTCGGCATGGAACGCATTATCGTAT